ACAGGGCTTCAGGCCCTGTGTGGGGAGAATCCCCTGGAGAAGGGCATGGCAGCTCACCTCAGTACTCTTGCCTGGAGAATCCAATGGATAGAGGAGCCTGGCAGGCTATAATCCATGAGGTCACAGAGTCAGACGTGACAGAGGATTTTTTTGATCTTCACTAAGAAAATCTGGCAGAACTATAGGGTATAAGACTCACAAAAGTAAGCTCCCACCATCCCTCCTTTCTCCCTGCACCGAGTTTTTATATTCAGGCCTGTCCATGCTAAGCCTCCATATTCTCCTCGGTTACAGTTCATGTTTTCCTATTCCAGTACTGGTTCCATGGAGGTTTCTACTAGAGGTTTTGTGTTTTTTTCTCCTGTTCTGGTAAATTGTGATTCTATTGGCCTGTCTCTCCCATTTTTGGAGCAGTGACCTCACTTGACAGACCTAAGAAGACTTGATTTTTCAGTTTCTTTGTTTTTTGTTTTTTTTTTTTTCCTTTGGTTTTTTATTTGATGTTAGGACCTACTGATAACTTCTAAGCTCCTCATGTGTCAGACTGGAAATTAAAACAATTCGATTTGTACTTTAAAAATATAACAAGCATTTTAATACACAGACACACACACACACCAGGCCCTTGGCAGTGAAAGCCGAGAGTCCTAACCTCTGGACTGCCAGGGAATTCCCACTATAACATGTATTTTAAACCACAAGTCCTGATTACTCTCTCACAACACACACACACACACACACACACACACACTCTACTTTTTAATCCTGATTATTTTCCCCTTTTAAATTTTGCACTCCTCATAGTTTTGACATTGCAACCATGTTTTAACTTTTCACATAGATTAGACAAAGTAGCTTAATTAGAACTGATATTTCTAATCCTGGATTATGGTGCCACCTTTTTTATAATTAACTCAAGATAAAACAGCTGATAGAGAACATAAGATAGACTGTTTTCTGTTTGAACTGGAGGTGTGAAATGTGAGATGTATATGTGAGTTGAAGTTTATGTTTTAAATAAAATCTGGACTAATTTCAATAATATCTCTCCTATAGTCAGTATGGGTCGTTCATTTGGCAAACACCAAACACCAGTTATTTGCAGGATAGAAGATACTGGGGGTACAAAAACTAATACAGTATGTTACTTTTATTGTAATTTAAGGCGTGGTGAGTGAGGCATGTAAGGAAAACAGTTAATGTAATGAATGCTCTGATATGGGTAAGTTCAAGGTGCAGTGGGAGTGTAATGATAGCTGGTTTATAAATAATCTTTTAGCAGTCCATCTAGCTTTAACCTATGAACCCTTTATGATCCTATGAACCTAGGCTGTGTCAGGCAAATCCAATTGATTTTGCCTTCATACTAATTTCCCTATTCATCCTCTTCTATCCTAAGTGGTTACCTTGCAGACAAACATCACTTTTTCATACATTCAGTGCACCAACGAGAAGGATATTTTTAAAATGTAAATCAGAGTAAAAAATGTAAACCAGATCAAAGTACTTTTATACTTAAAACTCTCCAGCAGTTTATCATCTTAAGAGAGTAAAAGTTAAAAACTCCTTGCTAGGGGTCCATAAGGTCCAAGTGACCTTGCCGTACTCACCTCTGACATCCTCTATCAAAACTCTCTCACACTTATTTATTGTACTTCAGCTACATTGGCTTTTTTTTTTTCTGATTATTAAACACACGAAGTTTGTATGAGCAATTAGGCCTCTGCGATCTCTCTCCTCAGTGTCTGAAACTCTGCCCACAAACCTTTACATAGCTATTGTTCAGATTTCAACTTATATGTCAGTTCCTCAGCTTGGCCTTCTCTGACCAGTCAGTCTCCATTCCGAAAACTGCTTGTCATGGATATTTACTTACGTATGTATGTGTGCAAGTGTGGATGGGTCTGTCTCCCCGACTGTAAAGTAAGCTATATAAAAAATATATAGCTTAAAATCTAAAGGATATTTTATATTTTAAAAATATAAAAATAATATTATAAATTATTTTAAAATAATACTTTAAAAATTGTAAACAATTTTTTTATGACTGTAAAAAATATAAGGGATATTTTCTCTTTTATTCATTCCGTATCTTTAAGGTCCAGGATTGGTATATGCTAGTTACTCATAAAATAGTGGTTGAAAGAATGTATGACTTTCATAAAGTTTGTTTATAGATCCTATAACCCTTTGAAGTTATCTTTTTCTTGTATTTAGCTGCTTATTTATTGTCTGTTCGTCCCACACACCAATCTGATAAGGGCAGCATCTTGTCTGCTTTACTCATTTCTGTATCTCTGGAGTCTACAGAAGTTCTTGGCATATAGAGAAGTGGCGTTGGTAAAGCGAAAGTGAAGTTGCTCAGTCGTGTCCGACTCTTTGGGACCCCATGGACTGTAGCCCACCAGGCTCCTCAGTCCATGGAATTTTCCAGGCAGAACTACTGGAGTGGGTTGCCATTTCCTTCTCCAGGGGATCTTCCCACCCCAGGAATTGAACCTGGGTCTCCCGCACTGCAGGCAGACGCTTTACTGTCTAAGCCACCAGGGAAGCGTTGGTAAGTCTGTGGTAAATGTGTGGGTAAGACAGTATATTCAATTTTCAAAGATCTTAAAATATAGAGTGGAGAGAAACAGGGCTGTAACAAAGAATAAGCAAGGGACTGTGAAATCTCCGGAGAAACTGAGATCAGGAAGGGCAAGTCTCAACCGTCAAGCCAGGAGTGTTGAGGTTAGATATGTACTTTGAGATGAAATTCTCTTACCAAGTGAGGGGGTCCGGTGGGTCCAGTGCAGAATCTAAAGAATTTAGTACATGGCAAAGAAGTTCTACTGGATATCCAGAAGATTACAAGCGATCAGTAAACACTTGTTGACTAATTGCTTGTCACATCTCTGGAAATAATCAGATTTAGGATAGAGACCTGGTCCACCTCTTTGATAGGTATCCGTACTACTGAACCACATTTCCCAGCATGCATCAGACTGGGGGTAGTTTTTTTAAATGGACTACAACTCCCGGCATGCTGCGTCCCGGCGGAGCGGACTACACGCCCCGACAAGCCAGGGCAGACTATCAGGAGGCGGGGCGGGGCGGGGCTGTTTGGGTCACTTGAGCCGGTTTGACGGAAGAAGCGGCGCGGCGGCGGCGGCGGCTGCGGCGGAGGATGGAGGCGGTGGTGTTCGTCTTCTCTCTCCTCGACTGTTGCGCGCTCATCTTCCTTTCGGTGTACTTCGTATCCTTGCCTGAGGCGGGCGGAGGCCGGCCTGGGGCCCTCCGTCCAAGGGACCGGGCTGGGGTTGGGCCCGTGTTGGGGCCAGGGCAGGGTCGAGGGAACGAGGGAGGTGGCCGGCGTCGGGCGCGGGTAGCCTGGGCGCTGGCACGGCTGGAGGCGAGCCTGGGCTGGAGGAGGGCCCCAGTGGCCCAACTCTGCCCATCACCTGGGGGTCCGAGCGGGCCTTACTCTCGAAGCGCCCGGGCCCGGCCTGCCCGCCGCCTCTCGACCCCCGCGACGCCCGGACCCGCTCTGCCATGCGCCAGCCCTGGCACTTGGCCTTTCCTTGTGGCCTTAGGGGGAGGGGGTCGCGGTACTTCCTTTTTGGCCCTCTAAAGAGAAGGATCACGGTTTGTCTTGCAGCTGCCCTGGGCCCGGCCCTTCGCCTGATGCCCGGGGTCCAGAGAGCGAGGGGCCACGTCCCGGGGGCGGTCTCTCGTGGACGGTCCCGCGCCGAGCCAGGCGATTTGGCGCCTCTTGTCATTCTTTGGGCAACTCCCCCGCTGCCTGCCCCTTTGTTCTCGCGGGTGTTGGAACTTGTAGGGAACCTTTCACATCCCGAAGTTGACTCACTTCAAAAGCGGGTGAAGTGTTTCTTTCACGATGCGGTTTTGTAGGGAGTGCTGGGAACGGTTTGTTTTTAAAAAACCAGCTACAGCTGATTATTTCGTTGCCCTTGTTGGTTGCAGATCTGTAAATTTCAGTATCTGTACACGTGATTTAATTCTCCGTCGTTTCTCAACTTTTAGTTTTCTCTGTCGATGCGTGTTTAAAACTTCTGTATTTTGTATAGCCTTTCGAGCTACAGTATTCAAACTGTATTTTCCGGGCTAATAAATGGTCGTTGAACTCTAGGAAGCGTGTGGGGCTACCACTTTGCTCTTGAGGAAGCTTTTGGTCTTAGTTGTCACCCAGTGATGACTTAGTTGTCACTTAGTGATGTAGTTAATGCACAATCAAATTTTAAGTAATGTAAACTAAGAAAAAGCATGAGAAACTCTTCATTTTATTTTTTCCCCTTGGAAATTATATGCGTCTCTTTCTGGCAGAATTAAACTTTTTGTTTGCCAGAGCATTCTGGCATTAGGATGGTTGTACAGAGTATTTTTCAGTGTGGCTTTATAATTTATTATGGACTGGCAACCTGTTGAACTGGGATGAGACAAAACTTGGAATCAAGACTTCTTGCTTAGCTAGTTATTTGCTGTGCACATTGTTTCACCTCTCTAAGCCTCAGTTGTTTTGTTTTGTTTTTTAATGGGAAATGTTTACTTTCTAGATAGATAGGTGTGTGCTCGGTAGAGGTGTGTGAAGCATCTAGCAGCACAATGCCTGCCCCATGGCCAATGCTTAGTAAATGTTACTCTGCCTTCCCGCCTCAGCCCTCACTGAACAGCAGTTTTTGCTTTAACTGATGATTTCTGATGAAGAGAACCCTGACTTTTATTAGGCTTGGAGAACTTGAAAGTGCAGCATCCCTAAGGAAGTTTTTGGTGATCTACCTCTCCTGTGGTATAAGAAACTGGAGCTTAAGTTCAGAGAAATGAAACTTGGATTTCTTTTATTGCAGTTTGGAAAACTAGTCTTGATAATTTAAAATAACCTTGTCTAGGGAATTCCCTGGCAGTTCAGTGGTCAGAGCTCAGGGCTCTCACTGCTGGGGCCCTGGGTTCCATCCCTGATCCTGAAAGCCAGGCAGCACAGCCCAAAAAAAAAAAAAAAAAAGCCTTGGTTTATACAAATTTATGTACATAAGACACTTACTAGGTGGAGTTTTAGACTTAAACATTAAGATACATTCAGGATGAATTTTGATGAAATTCAGCATATTGTATTTTTGAATAGTTGTACAAGCTTAATACTAGAGCTGAGAGGTAGAAAATCACCAGAGTATACATATTTTAGGAATAAGAGTTTTCCTGGACTTTGAACCTAGAAGAAAACATGCAGAGAAGGAAAGGGGTAGATATTCAAAATTAGACAGTCAAGAGCAAAGGTGCAGAGACAGATGTGTTCATGGCATTTCTGGGTGATGGAGGAATAGGCTATCTGGAGCAAAAGGTTGACTTTTGGTGGCAGCCGAAGGTCAGGTTTGGAAAGGCTGGATTAGATTCAGTTTGGGAGGGTTTGACTGTTAAGGAGAAGGGCTTTCACTTTTATCCTCTAGGCAATGGTGAGTCATTGACAGTTTTTTGATGTAAACAAAGTGGTGTGTCCTGAAGATAAGTCTGCAGAGTAGGTTGGAAACAGGAAAGACTGGAAGGTAAGAAACCACTGGAGAACGGGTTCACTTGGATCTGGAGTGGGGTGCCACTTGTGGGCAGGTGAAAGGAGGGATTAATGTGAGTGGCATGAGAAAGAAATGATTGACAGAACCTGGTAACAGTTGATTCTGAGATAATGAAATCCAGAATCTGAGAATCTGGAAATCTGAGAATCCAGAAACAGCTTTCCATATTTTGAGCCTGGACAAATAATGCTTACATCATTGACAGAAATAAAACAAATTGGAGGTGAAACAGTTTGGGGAGAAAGTGATGATTTTGATTTTAGCTGTGCTGAGGTAATGGGGGGACTGTCCATATGGAAATGTATAGAATTTACTTGAGAGAATTTCTTTTTACCTATTTTATTGGACACTTTCAAACATAAGAGTAGTGTAATAAATCCCATGTTTCTATTCAGTGGTTTTCAATATTTTGCCATTTCTTTCTCATTTTTCTCCCAACTATTGTGAGGAGGCTGTGGGAGCATTTTAAAGTAAATACCACACATTGACTGGAAGACTTTTCCTTTTTTGTTTGTCTGTCCCTCAGATTTTTACTTGTGTGTTTATATTGTGTATTTATTTGTGTGTTAAGACCCATTTTTTTCTGTAAGTCCAGTGTAATGTATGTTTACAGTGGAAAGTTTGGTCATAGGGAAAAGTTTTGGGAAAACAAGCTATCTGTAATGCAACTTTCAAAGCATAAACACTGCTAACTTATGACCATGCTGAATTTATAGTTTTGTGTCCTATTTTTTTAATATCTTAGTTTTCAGATATTTTATGGATATATCATAAACACTTTTTCTACTATTGGGAATTAAGTATTTAAGTATAACATTTAAACTATATATGGGTCATATTTTCCATTTCTTCTGGAAATGCCACTGTTCAACACTTGAGGAATCCTGGTGGAATGTTCTGTTATGGGTCACATTAGAATTGTGCATAATAAGAGGATTATTCTGTGAAAATAACTTGTTGAAAGAACATAAATGAGAAAATTTAGTTGTCTAATAAATGAGCTTTAAGGAAAGAACTGAATCTTTTCAAGTCAAATCTAAATCTGCCTTGCAACTGGGGTTGCTTTCTGAAACTTAAATAGTTATTATAAAAGAAATCTAATAATTCCTTATCTTGATCATCAGATAATTACATTGTCTGATTTAGAATGTGATTACATTAATGCTAGATCATGTTGCTCAAAATTAAACAAGGTAAGACATTTCTTTCCTCGCTTTTTGGCCTTGAAGACAGTTCTCCATTTTCTGTGCTAGAGATTATTTTACATAGTCACCATATGTGTATTTGGTATACACTCAGATGTTGGTGGAGCTCCTGTGCTTTGGAATATTTTTCGATCATGAAAGCATACCAGAAGACTTAACTTGAAATTTTGTTTCTTTACTCTTTTTCCTTGTCCCTTTGTCCGTTACTCAGGCTAGTAAAGGTTCATCATCAGGTAATTGCTTTTGTCTTCTGTGTGCAAACCCCCTCCTTCCTGCTCACAGGAAAGAGCTCAGTCTGTCTTTTGTTAAATGAAAGATGACCTTCTTTTTGTGGCTCGATGAGAAATTGAATTAGTTGATTTGTTTTCAGACCATTTTATCTTTAGTATATAATCAAAACTTTATATTGACAATAAAACTTTGAACTTTCCAGCTTCTCTAAGTATGAGGAAACCAGTTGGTCCTGATTCATTTTATGAGATGAGTGGACAAAAGCTTTTTGGATATAAAAGTTCAGGTAAAGGGGACTTCCTTGGCGGTCCAGTGGTTAAGACTCTGTGCTGTGCAGTGCGGCCAAAGAAAAAGTCCATAAAATATTTATATATACAATAAAATACTTTATTGTATATAAAAATACAATGCTGAAAAAAAATTACAATACTGAGAAACACGTTTTGGCTTGACCTAAAAATTCTCATGGGTCTTTTCACATCTTCAGTCTACTTAGTTTCTCTGACCCATGAGGGAAATAGAGTTATACTTGAAAAGTTACAATTTCTGTTTAAAAAGAAAAATAAAAGAAAAGTTACAATTTCTGGCAAATTATATTCCTCCTCTCCTCTCCCTTCCTTCCCTTCCTTCTTTCTTTCCAATTTTCCAGAATATGGTTTAATACAATGATAGATTTAAAGAAAGGATTTTGTTTATCTGGTATGCTTTCAGAGTTCTTGTTTTTCCTCGATATGTAATTGAAATATAACATTCATTAATTTCAGGCCTCCTCATCTTTAATTTTTTTTAGAATTTAAATTAATTAATTAAAAAAAATTAAAGTCCTCCTATGTGCCAGGCAGGGTCTTTCCCCTTTTTAAAAAATTGGAGGGACCTCCCTGGTGGTCCAGGGGTTAAGAGTTCTCCTTTCAATGCAGGGGACACAAGTTCCATCCCTGATTGGGGAACTAAGATCCCACGTGCTGAGGCAACTAAGCCCGCGAGCTGCAACTTACTGAGACCATGTGCCTTAACTAGAGGGAAGATAAAATGTATTTTAAATAAAATATAAATTAAAAAAAAAAAATTGGAGTGTGGTTGAATAGGCCTCTGCATCTTTAGAAGAATAATTTTTTTACTGAGAGGTAAATCTGTCTCATGTGTGTGTGTATGTGTATTTCATATTTTTTGCTTACTCAGTATTTTCGGTGGCTATTTTGTGGGATTTCTTTTACAAAAATAAAAATTTAAATACAAAGAAAAGATTACCTGGGTTCTTCTATTGAGAAAGTGACTCCTTCAATTTGAAGTTAAGTGGTCTTTTTTAAAAAATGTTTTTGTGAAAGTTATACTTGCACACAGCTAAAGTCAGAGTATTAGAAAGTTCACAGTGAAAACAGCAGACCCTTCCTGACCCTTTAAAGTCATATGTGTCTTGCTTTTGAGGGGCAACTGATTTCAACACTTGAACTGTTTAATTTTTTTCTGATATTTACATCCTTATTTCTCTATGTGCTTACAATGCTATTTCTTTCTTTCTTTCTTTTTTTTTTTTTACTGTACTGCATGGGTTGCAGGATCTCAGTTCCCCTACCAGGAATTGAACCCAGGCAGTGAAAGCCCAGAATCCTAACCACTAGGCTGCCAGGGAACTCCCACTACTTCTTGATTTATCAATTTTACAACATTATCTATCAACTTCTGAGTCAATATTGGTAGATTTTGTTCTTAGGTACCAACTTCTAAATATCACTCCTGTTTTTCTATTTTTGTTTGCAGGTAAGTTTATATTTAATGTTTATATCGTGTTGTACTATAATGTTTTTTATTACTGAGCCTTATGGCAGACAGTGATCATATTTTTCTAATTTTTTTTTTTTAATAACTTGTCTTTTCAGATAACATCTTTAAAGTCTTTCAGTACTATTTTCTACATGGTTCAAACATAAAAATAATCTATCAGTTGTTTTTTTCCAGGTGACATTTCTCCTCAAGACCTCCATCCTCTTGCTATAGTCTGGAGCAGTTGCTCTTAGACCTTTTCACAGCTTCCATTTTGGGACTCCTGGTTGGATCTCCTGATTCTTGGAAATCATGTCTTCTTTTCTCTTGGCTTAGTACCTCATTTTGCTGGAGTAGCTTCTTGAGGTTACATGGTACATGGAAATTCAATTTTTTGAGACCTTGCATCTTTGAAAATGTCCAATCCTTTCCCTTGATTGACAGTTTCTCTGAGTATAGAATTCTAGATTAGAGAAGACTTCTTTTTTTTCAGAGTTTGCTTGATCAATGTCTTTTAACTTCCAGTGTTGATCAAGTTGGGAAATCTAGTGCATTTTGATTTCTTGTCCTTTGGATGGGATCTCTCTCTCCTCTTTCCCCACACCCCCACCTCCATCCTTTCCAGAAGCTTTAGAATCTTTTCTTTATCCTTGGCATTATTTATTTATTTATTTGTGGTAATTCTCAGTGTTTTGGAATTTTGCAGTGGTATACCTTTGTTTAGGCCTTTTCACTCATTGCTTCATTCATTCATTGGGCTTCTGAGAGATTCCTTCAGTCTGGTAAATTTTCTTTCTCTGATAATGTCTTCCCCCTCTATTTTCTCTCTTTTCTTTCAGCAACTTGGATTTGCTGGATGTTTATCTGCTGGGTTGATCTGCCAGTTCTTTTTTCTTATTCTTGTCCCTTTGAGTTTTTTTCTACATTCTTGTAAGATTTGCTGTTTTATCTTCTGTACTTTCTAGTATGTATATAGTTTATGTTGAACTTTTAATTTCTAAGAGCTTTTTGTTCTCTTGGTTCATACTTGACTCTCTCTCTCTGGGATATTGATTATAGTAGTTTTTGAAATTTCCTTCTGCTTCCTACATTATATCTGTTTTTTCCAAGTTCCTTCCTCTTTCTTTTCCCCACTTATTTCATACTGAGGGCTTTCCTCAATTTCTGATATGTGGCTGGTCATACTTTATGGTAAAACACTAAAATACTCATTGGAAGCTCATTGGGCAGTGCAGGCTATTGACTGATAGGTGGACTCCACTGAGGGTAATTGGTTTCTGCCTTTTTTGGGGGTACCTGAAATGGCAGTTTTTGTAGGTGTTTTCTCTTGTGCCATTAAGGCACTCCAGAGAAGGATCCTTCAAACTCTTGCCTGGGTTATAACAAGCCTCGAGCTAGCATTCTGAGAACAGGTTAGGGGAAGAACACATTATTAATGAGGGAAGAGAACAGAGGACTTGGTTGAAAGTCAGTAGACTAAGTATAATAAGGTCAAGTGTTGCTTCCTGAAACTTTTGTTTTAGGTTTATGTAAAACAAAGTGCAGCCCATAGTAAGAAGTTCAGTTTGAAAGCTACTGCTGTGTTGGTCTGATAACATGGAGGGGAGTAGCAGTAGTAACATCAGCTAACATTTATTGAGTGCTTATTTTGCATGTGGCTTATGTATGTTATTTGGTCTAATTCTCTATAACAACCTCTTGAGGTGTAAGTATTATTATCTCCATTTTACGAATGAGGAAATCATGATTTAGAGGGGGTAGGTAACTTCCTAAAATTGCACAGCTAATAAATAGGATAGAGCATGGGTTTTATTCCAGGTTTATTTGACTTTGCAGGTTACACATACTATGTGTATGTGTTAGTAGCTCAGTCGTGTTCCACTCTTTGAGACCCCATGGACTGTAGTTCTCCAGGCTCTTTTGTCCATGGAATTCTCCAGGCAAGAATACTGGAGTTGGTTGCCATTCTAGCATTATGTTAAATTGGTTACACTTTAAAAATACATTTACAAAAATACATTTACATATTAAAAAATGTCCTTGTTGATTGCAAATTAGGTTTAAGGCCCAGAAAATCACTTCTTTGTTTATTTAAAAAAAAAAGTAGCCAAAAAAAAAACTGTCTGAGGGAATAAATTCCCTGGTGGTCCAGTGGTTAGGACTGTGCACTTTTCACTGCCAAGGTGTGAGTTTAATCCCTGGTTGCAGAACTAAGATTCCACAAGCCTCCTAGCAGTGGGCCCCCAACTGTATTTAAAATGTACTGCTCCCAAATGTATTTAAAATCTAAATGCTGGAGACCTGGGGCCAGTGAGTCTGAGCTTCTGTTACATTGATTGCCCTGCCACTATGTAGTTGTGTGACCTCCGGCAAGTTTCTTGATCTCTCTTGAGTTTTATTTTCTTCCTTTCTGCAAGTTGGGAGTGCCAGTGTCTGACTCCATAAATACTAGGTATTAACTTCCATTAAAAGAAAAGTCTCAAAAAAAAACAACAACAAAAAAGAAACATTTTCTACACATAGGAGAGGAAGACTATTGGTGAATTGAGAGCCTGCCACTACTGTGGTACATGACATACTGTGGTACATAAACCACTACTGTGGCTCTTGATACATGAGAACTAGAATATTACACAATAAAGAGCATAGATAAGGGCATTGGGTGCTATAAAAGCAATAGTCTGGGATTCTTTTATCCTGGTCCTTTATCATATTTGTTCAACTTGGAGCTGATATTGTAAGCTGTTAAAGTACTTTTTTTTTTTTTTGGTAAATGTGAGATGATTTTCCCCAGGGTTCTGGAGCTTGGAAATGTATAGATAAATATTCTGACTTGAAAGGCAGCATGAATGTGAATATAAACCACCCCAAATTAGAGTAAGAGGTTTTAGCACAGATATTGAAATAGAGAGTAAATAACATTCTGTTTTTTCTCTAGTTGTCATTCATACCTGCTTAGTGAATGAATCTGAACCTGTGCTTAGGATAAAATGTAATTAAAGTTTAAGTGCATTATTTTTAAGCTGTGTCCTGATATATTTGCATAGGGTAAGCAGTGATAGCAGTATGCAAATCTGGGACATCTGAGTCTAAAAATAATCTTGAAATACTAGCTTGGAAGATTTCTGTACTCCTTTGATTTAGCTTCAAGTAACATGAACATTTAGGAAGAACATAGCATGAGATGTAATAACTATGTTCTTCCCTTGCAGTGGGTAATTCCAGAATTGGTTGGCCATACTCTTGTCACTGTACTAATGCTCATTTCATTGCACTGGTTCATCTTCCTTCTGAACTTGCCTGTTGCCTCTTGGAATATATATCGGTGAGTACTTTCTGTTTATTGTTTTGTTTAGAGAAAAAAACTTAAGATTTGACAGCTTTCTTTTCTCCAATAAAAATATGCTAGTCATAAATGATAGCAGAACATGTCATTAAATCAGCATACATTTTTATTCACTTTGGTATATTGGGCAAGTAGCAATTTGCATGGCTCAGTCTTGTAGTAAAAACACAAATTTACATGTGTAAGTTAAAAAAAAATTTAATGTTGCACTGTCTAAAGACTTGAGTTGTTTTTTCATTATCTGCCTTTTTTCTTTATGAATAATCAAAAACCTGAGAATATAATATAAGGTCTTTGTTATTTATATCTGCAGCTTTTAATTATAGTGTACATGAAATGCTCTGAAGAAAATTTCATTTTAAATCTTGCATGTTAGATAATGTAAAAATGTTATCCAGATATTCATTTGTGCTACTAGGATTTGAGGGAGAATTTAAGATTTGTGGAACTCAGAGAGCCATTTGCATTTCGCAGAAGTCATAATTGAGAAACCTGATGGTGAGGAACCCAAGGTTGGACTAGAAGAAGCTTGGACATAAGAGAGGGAAGAGGTCATGAACAGTACTAGGTTAGGACATGCATGTTGTGCAGATGGTACAGTGTGAATGCTGAAGCTCAGATGCTTAAACTCACTGATGCTTTCAAAATTACCCAGTTTTCTTACATGTAAAAGGAATCATTGAGGAAGAAGATTATCATTTGTAATACTGTGTACACAGCGGTATTCTAGAAATATGAAATGTTATGTTATCAAGAGCCCCATAGACTTCACAGTATGTTAAATGCAGTGTCTTCAAGATGTTTCAAGTCTGAGTCTGAGTCAGTGGGAACACTGAATTGAATTGGTCTGGTTTGGGGACTAGGTATGTGCTTTCCACGCCCTTTGTCTTCGGTACTGACTTTCTAGCCCTGTTCTCCTCCCCCCACTGTGGTCATCCCTCCATCACTATAAAAAGTACAGTTCTTATTTGTCAAAACAGTATTATTTAATTTAATGTTTAGAGTTAAATCTAAATAAAATTTATATTTTAATTAGATATAATCTTTTTTTTAAGAGTCATGTAAAGTTAGGCACTGCATTTGTGTCTGAACTATCCATTTATAGTCTTCACTGAAGAAGAGTTTTATTTTACCAAAGTATATTTATTCTAAATCATTTCTGTCTTCTTGAAATTGCTCTTTTAAGGTAAGTACTGTTTATTTACCATGCAGATTGAGACACATTTATTGATCAGCAGGAGCATCAAATATGAGGGTTTTATTCTGGGCTTCCGAGGTTGCACTAGTGGTAAAGAATCTGCTTATGCAGGAGATGTAAGAGATGTGGGTTCTATCCCTGGGTCAGAAGGATTCCCTGGAGTAGGAAATGGCAACCCACTGTAGTATTCTTGCCTGGGGAATTCCATGGATAGGAGCCTGGCAGGCCACTTCATAGGGTCACAAAGAGTCGGTCATGACTGAAGCAGCTTAGCCTGCATTCTGGATATAGAATCTCTCTTTTTAGTGTCATCTGTGAAATGGGAATAGTTATGTTTGACACTACTCTTCCTTACAAACACGTGAAGGTGAAGGGAATTGCATTAATTAATTTAGAACTTTGTAGATGAAGAAGTTTCTAAGTATTTGATCAGATTGGTTTGGTTTTTGCGGCTCCTTTCACTTGTCTAAAGGAAGACAGCTATAGATATTACTGATTCAGTAGTTTTCTACAAAAAATGAGTGAAAGGGTCTTAGTACATAAAATATCCTTCTCTAGAATATTAGTGGATTTGTTTCAGAGGACAGGAGTTATACCAAAAATTAATAGTATTGTATCTTTCAAAGGAAAACTTAAGTCATGACCTGTGATATCATTATAATACCCTGTCAATATATGGTCTGAATATAACTATGACTGATTCATTTTTAAAGTTTGATTATTACTGGTTACTTATTTTTCAATGTTTATGCTGATGGTTTGATTTTCTTTCTAATGTATGTACATCCTTTAATTTACCAGGTACATTATGGTGCCCAGTGGTAACATGGGAGTATTTGATCCAACAGAAATACACAATCGAGGGCAGCTGAAGTCGCACATGAAAGAAGCCATGATCAAACTCGGCTTCCACCTCCTCTGTTTCTTCATGTATCTTTACAGGTGAGTTTACAGTCCTCTTGGCACTTCCCCAGATGCCATGCCTGCTTCTAATGGGTGAGATATTACTGTTCTGTGAGATTTTATTTGGACATTGCAGAACTTTGGGGGTTATGTGAATTTCTTGTGACTTACGTAGGTTTTTTTTATGTCATGTCATTGAATCAGCATTCTGTCTGACCTGCAGTAGTTACTCCATGTTATTAGTTACTCCTTAGCTGTTGAGGCTGTCCACATGCTTAAGACTGCCTTTGCTCTTCTTTCCCTGCCCTGGTGTCCAGTTATGAGGTCCTACTGCCTGTTTTAAGCATTTCTAAATGTACTCCCAGAGACTTTCCCACTCATGGGTCTTCTGGGTGTCAGACCACTGACAGCAGTTCTCAACAACTTGAATCCATACTGGGCTGATCTTTCTTGGTGTTAGGGAATTTAGATGTGATGGCCTTCTCTCCAAGATGCAAGTGGTCTGTTCTGGTAAGACTGCATCAGTCTTCCACTTAGATTGGAAGTAAGAATTAATATGAAGGATTAGCTGTCACACATTGCAAGCCTTATGCTGTCCTGTTTTAAAATTAAATTTATAAGTTTTAGAGATAACATGCCACTTCTTTCTTTACCCATTATAGACCCATAGGATAGACCAAAGAATAGAAAAAAAAATTGTCATGTGTGTGTATGATTTGATTAAGCCTTTAAGAGGCTAGAAGTTAAGGCTTAACTTTTATATCCAAGCTTAATTGTATCATATTTGTTTTCCTGAGGTAAATTTTAATTTCCACATGGGCATAAGACTAGTAGGAAAAAACTTGTACTGAACTAAACTCCTGTCACTCAAAAGAGTCCTAATAATTAGAAATTGTACCTAGATAAGAATTTCTAAAAATTGCTATTTTTTTCTGAAATAGAGCCATTTTAGCCTCTGCCTGAAAAAGCAGGCTTCCTAAAATGCTTTTGCTGTGCTAATTACATCCACTAGCATAGATTAGGTTGAAATTAGAGTTTAGATGATTTCCTTTTTAGTATTTTGTTTGCTTTCCTATATTTTAAAAAATAGGACCAAAACACACTAGTTACCAGTTTCTGGTTCTCATACCTTATCTTATTGCTGATGTGTTTAATTTTTAATCCTAGCGTTAAAGATGCAGTGACCCTAGCATAAAGAATAAAGAGCAAAGAAGTTTAATATTAAGAATACAATGATACATCTATTCTCATTTTTATTACTTTTAAAGTCAAACCATATGAAGGTATCATTACCATAATATATGTTCCCTTCTATTTGTCAGAGGCAAAAGGCAAGGTGGTTATCCTTTCTTCATCCTCCTCTCCCCTCCAGGTTTTATGCTTTTTGAGGGTAAACTAGAGTGGATGCCTCCTGAGTCTTGATAACATGAGCTTCTGGAGACATCTAGGGGCAAAGCCAGTGTAGCCACACTTCCGGGTGTAAACATAGGATTAGGGAGCAGTATCTTGCTTAGTAGACTCAAAGTCGTAGGATTTTAAAATTGACAAGACTTCCTTAGTTCTTAGCTATTGACTTTAAAGAGATGGGAAGATGGACTGAAGACTGGGGATTGGAAGAATCAGAAAGCAGTTGAGGGAAGGTTTAAGGAAGGGTCCTTTACAATGAAATAAAAGATAGGCAACCTATAAAACTGGTTTGGCTGAGGAGTTGCATTCCTCACTGAATGCATTCTTTCTTTTTCTTTCTTTCTCCTTCTTTTCCCCTTCCCTTCTTAGCTTATCATTTTTAGCCATGGTGCTATTACCTTATTCCTTGGCATTTCCCTATAGCCCAGGGGTTTGGGATGGAAGAGTAATATCAGAAGATGTCCTTCTAACACTTTTCTCTTAGCTTTTGGTTGTTGTCTTTAAAAAGTGTTTATAATTCTGAATCACCAGTTTCTAATGTAGGGATTTATGCTGTTCCTTCTATGTCACCTGCCACTACTTGCATGGTGCGTTACACTGTGGCACCTTGTGGACACTTGGGGTTTATTAAATAGAATTAAAGGGCAAAAATGCCCATCTTCTTTAGAGATTAGTGGAATCTATGCCTTTGGAGCTTGTTGGGTACTAATCTGGTGGAAGCTACTATTTTCTCATGGTGTGACCTGGGGCAAGTTTCTTACCTTCTCTGTGCCTCAGTTTCTTCCTCTGAAAATGAGATAATAATAGTATCTGCCTCATGGGATTATGATGCGGATTAAATGAGATAATGCGCATAAAGCACTTTGGTTTGTGCTCACCTCTAGTAAACTCTAAAAAACACATTAAAAAATATTAGTTACTACCATTAATTTGTGCCATGCAGTGCTTACTCTTAGTTTGGTTAAATTTGGACATCTAATCACTTTTAGCAGCAGCAATGTAAGGGTATTTCTGTGTTTTTTAGTCATTTGATCTCAGAGCAAGGCTAATTCCTGTTAAAGATGATAGTCTTGTTACTCTTGTTAAATGTGGTGGTTTTAATGGTGTATTTATTGAGTGATCACCACACTTCAGACACTGCATTTGATACAAAGGAGCAGCACAGATTCTGTGTCAAAGTTGGGACACTGCTGGTGGCAGTGCGTGGGTGTCACCTGGAAAATGAAAGTGGACAGGAGCTGAGGCACGCAGAGGCCAGGAGCTCTGGAGGGAGGCCCGGCCACTGCCCAGGGCTGAGAGGCCTTCTCAGAGGAGGTGCCAGAGCTGGGGGGTCATGAAGCCTGAGAGGAATGTAGGGTGTGAGAGGAGGGGTTCCAGGAGTAGGAACAACATTTTCAGAGACCTCCATAGAGAAAGTTTTTCCCCTGGATAAAGCCTGTTTTTCCTCAACTATAGTCCAACATTGGTTTTAGGTTATACTCCCTACCCTTGCCTCTACCCCAGGTTTCTTTCTTTCCTTCCTTCCTTCTTTCTTGAAACATTAGAGCCTCTCAGGGTCCCAGTATAGATCTTCTTCCCTTTAGGTATTGCTTTTTACCCAAACGAGTGTCCCCTGGTGAGCCGTAGGGATGCAGGTCTGTACAGAACAGACTCTGTAGGAACATTCCTAAGGAAACATTAGTAACATGAATTTCTTCTCTCCACAGTATGATTTTAGCTTTGATAAATGACTGAAGCTGGAGCAGCCGTGGTTGAAGTCAGCCTACACTACAGTGCACAGTTGAGGAGCCAGAGACTACTTAAATCATCCTTAGAACCGTGACCATAGCAGTATATTTTTTCCTCTTTGAACAAAAAATATTTTTGCTGTATTTTTACCATATAAAGTATTTAAAAAACATGAATTGAGTTTTTGTAGCTTTCTGGTTCTCAACTTTAGCCTGAACCCCCAACATGTCAAGGTGTGTTTCATCATCTGTATATAGAAGACAGTTATTTGTATGTAGGAAGAGGACTCATTCCAGCCTTGCATGCCAAAGAGAAACAGACATGCTATAAACGGAAAGTGTAATAGATGAGCAAGGTGGCTCTTCAGGTCAAGAGTACAAAACCTACCATTAGTCTAGGCAAAGGAAGAGAGGAACTAAACTACCCTTTTGCCTATATTGTGGCGGCTTCCTGTATTTCACATGGTTTACAGATTTAGGGGACTGTAAGCCAAATATCTTTTCATAAGAATGTTAACATAAAAATGACATTTCAAAAATATATTTATTTCTTTGCTGAATTTGTGAAGCCTTACAAGCCATTACAGGTACAATGTAATTCCTGCTTATAGAAAGGAAAATAAGCCAAAACAAATTTTATCAAGAGCTTTCATTTAAAAGCCACTGCCTCCACAATTACCCTCAAACTCACACATTCTCACTGGTTCTTGCTGGATCTTGGTTTTGTATTCTAATTGATTTAATTATATTTGATCTCTCTGATATGTCTTTTAATGGCTTTGGAGAGGTGATTTGGTAGAAGATGCTCATCAGGTTAGATGCAGGAGTAGCTGGTCATTCAACGTTGATGAAATTGATCCCGTCGCCCTCTGCTTGGTGCCTGACTGATCCTTCTGCCCTGCTGCACTGACCCCTTTGTCCATGTCATGGATATAGCAATATCTAATCAAACTTGGTTCCATGGAGTATTTCTCAATTCTTGCAGTTGTCAAGAGAAGTTAACTTAGGTTCTGTTTGCCAGATGAAGTGAACCTAACATTTTATTCTCAGTTCTCCTTTGTGTTTTAATGTCTCGGAGGCACTGGTATTTAGGTGAAACATGGCTGTGTTTTATGACAAGAGTCCAAAGAGATTCTTCAGTCTGTGGAAGCAGAATTGGCTAGCCAGATAAGTTGTGTCATCACCAAATATCAAATGTTGCATGTCCTTTCAGCCTTGGACTAGGCCTTACCTTGGCAGAAGCCAGAGAGCCACTAAGCAAAACTCCCTTTATGGACAGACCCACATTTTGACGATGGTAGTATGCCCTGGCCGCACGTGAAAGGAAGGGTGAAATGGTAGCAAAGTAAACTTGGTTCTTTTGGTCTGCAAGTCTCAGAAGTTGCTCCTTGGGGTTATCTTGTATTTCTTCCAGGCAGAGCCAAGGAGCTGTAACATAGAAGTTAGTTTGTTTGCATCTCTCGTACCTTTTTTTTCTTAGGCACCTTCCTCTGTTTAAAAAAAAACTGTCACTTAACTCTGGCTGTATCCCTAACTTCCAGTGCCTCTAAATGTTCTGCTCAAGCTTTTAAAGCAGTGAAGGTGTTGGAAAATTTAGAACTGAGAGATAAAAAAGAAAGCTTCAGAAAGCTCAAAGGTAGTGGAGGGCTGTTGAACAAAATGTTTTATCTTCTCAAATTTTTTTTAAAAAATGGCAATATTCACAATGTTGTGTTTCATATCTATAGCATAATGATTCGAATTTTATTTTATTCCATTATAGTTTATTACAAGGTATTGAATATATCAAGTATTCTTAGTAACCAAAATAGAAACTCCATGTAGTTGAGAGCATCTGGCTGTCAGTTTACATGTCATCGGGCACAGAGCAGAGGCTGAGCAGATCAGAAAGTTGCCTTGTTTACAACAAAAGACAGGAGCTCTTTACTTCTGAAACATTAACTGTGGTTAAAAGCAAAACCACCTTTCTTATAGTGATTGTCTGTATCAAAGCCAGGAAAGGGGGTAACTCTAGTTTTTTATTTTTTAGGGGCTCTTCTACAAATGAAGAGGGAAAGAGCAGTGACTTTTAAGAGCTGTGGTTAAGATGCTAAAGATTAATTTTCTATGCTTTTATCTGATTGGAGAGTTACAGAGGCCCTTAGAAATCCTTTGGTCTAACTTCATCTTAGAGAGCAGAGCCCCAGGGACTGCATCTGGAATCCTGCTGGTTAGTCTAGTGTACTCTCTCTCGTATCATTCCTCTTCCCTGTCTGTCTGTGAAGGTATTACCCAGGGCCCAGCCAGTGAAGGCTGCAGTGGCGTGCTTCTGGGTGCAGAATACTTTTATCTGTGTGTTCTGTCCTTTTCCTTCCTCCCTTCAATGGTAGCAGGTGCCCTAACTGATCATGGGACTCTCAGCTAAGAGAGCTGAGAAGAAAGATCTAAGGTACAGCTTAGTTCTTCAAAGCCTGACAGCCACCTTTTCATGCCACACAGATGACAAAGGAATAATATTGTCCAAATCTGCTTCCCCACACCTGAACTTTGAGAGATAAGAAAGCTCCCCAGTGGAACTTTTTCTTCTGTGGCTCTCCACTTTCTATCTGGTATTATGGTCATTTATATGCAATTCATCTCTCCTACTAGACTGTATACTCCTGGAGGGCAGAGTATATTCTTATTCATGTTTGTATCTTCTTTCCGTTGCTCCTGGCACCTAATACAGTGCCTTGCACACAGAAACAATAAATTATTGTTGAATGAACAAATAAATCTGACATAGAAGGGAGATGGATTTAGGAAGTAGACAGCTCTGGGTTGAGATTTTCAAGCCCTGCATCTTCCAGTTAAAGTTATTAACCTTCTCAAGCCTCAGTTTCCTCGTGTGCAAATTAAAGATGATACTACTTATAGGAAAAAAAAAAAAGAAGTAAATCTGATTGTGTTGTTCTATTGCTCTTTCAGCTTGAAGTCTTAACTGATGTCCTTTACGTCAGAGAAGTCAGAAGTAATGGAACAACATAATCAAAGTCTACCGTCTGTTTTCGAGGCAGTCACATTATGGAATGTTCTAAGACATGCTAGGTTAGGAAAGGAGACAGCTGTATTTGGTGCAACTGAGACTTGTGAAGTGAAATTTACTCACAAATAATATTTTGTCAGTAATTGTGAAGAATTATGTACTAGGTATAATTAATTATTCTCAAATGTAAATAAAATTGTTCTAATATATGAAAACAGGCAGCAAGATAGAGAAGGGAAATCTTAAGTTCCATGATAATCTTATTATCTAGATTGGTGCCACCTGAATGTATGTACTTTAGGCCAGATTTACTATTTTGCAATGTAGTATAACAAAGCTTGAAATATTCTTGGTGTAGTGACACTACAGTGAATAAGGTCATTCAGAGAATGGGCTGTTACGCCTTTGTGAGAACTTGTCAGTGAAGCCTTTTGGGTTTAAGCCATATTTACCATGAAAATTCTAAAAAATAGTAGTCAAACTGTATTGCTGTAAATATAGTCTGAGGACTGAGGGTCATTCAGAGCCTTACGAGTTAGCATTGTGAACTTCAGTAACCACAGTAATAATTACCTTTAGGACACAGATGTTAAAGGGATTGATCACTAAGTTGGTACTGAGCTCAAATTCTCTTCAGAATAAATTCTTTGATAAAAGCTGTTTTTGCTTTCAATTGTTTCCCTCTGAAGCTGGGTGAGGAAGAGTGAGTGGGTGGGCAGTCCAAGTCAGCTGGCTAAGAGTTCAGAGGTTTGACTGTGGCATCCCTGCTGTGTATTTGGTTTGCTGCTTCCATTTACAGAGCAATCTTGGTTTCATCTGTATTAGTTCCCATTCAATATTAGTGCCTAGTCAAAAAGCGAGTCAGCTTAACAGAAACTGAATTTGCTGTTCTGCAGCAGAGCACCTTGTGTGTAGAGGTTGAGAGGACTAGTAAGGTGCCAAGTTACACCCTGCCACATCACCTCTCTCCAGCCATCTCTCATATTCTTGGTTCCCTTTTAAACACCCTGTGTTTTATCAGTTTCCACTTTGTTACTGACCCAGGGGACATAGTTCATCTTGAATATGATATTCTAAGTACCATATACTCTTAGGGTAAGAGACTGGCACTTGAATAAGGAAGGAGCTTGAGTCCTTCATGTGTTTTCACAGCTCAGTTCATCCAAATTGATAACTCTGAAGGAGAGGATGTAACAGGAAATCAAGTTTTAGTCTGATCTTATACTTGATCTGATCAACAGCCTATTTCACAGACTGGATGCAAACCAGGTGAGGGTTGAACTCAACAGCTCAATTAAAAGCAAGTTTGGCTGCCATTGCATCTAATCTCTAAGAGATCTGCAGGGCAAGGCTAGTCTTCTGGTGTAAGTCTATATAAAATACTAACTTTGGGGAAGACAATAATAGGACTAGTCCACGTTAATTGGTAATTTTCTATTTTACCAGCTACAGTAATCAAACCTAAGGGCATTCTTGTTTTATCCACAATCCACTACTTTCCCTCCCTCACCCTATTTTGAAGCCAGTACCAGACATTACATATGTAATATTTTTATAAGTCCTAATATCATACGTAAGTTGGTAACTACTTCGTACCAAACCAATTGGTGCTCTGATTTGCCCCACTGCCTCAAGTTTTACAATTTGTTCACATCAGGATCCACCAAAGATCTGTACATTTCGCTTGATTAGTCTTGCTTAAGGCTCTTAATCTACTAAATTCCCTCTTTTCCTTTGCATTTTGTTGAAGAAATGGTTTCATTTGACATAGCAATCAAGTCATTTGTTGTGTAGAACTTGTAGTATTCTGGCTTTTGCTGATTGCATCCTCTGCCATAAACTCTTAAAAAAAATTGTAATTTTACTGTGTACATTCTCACCCATCACAATGCTGTCTGATAAGATAGTTAGATCCTTTCTTAGGTAAGGGAACTAACTCTGACAGCTTAAGTACTTGTCTAAAGTGACATGCAAGTTACAGGATTTGTATTCAGGTCTGATGATTCCAAAACCACTACTTCTAACCACTACTTTATAAAGTAATTGAGATATTCATATTTACTATGGAGGTTTTCTTCTATAAAACTTCATAAGCCTGTTTTATTATATGGAGAACAACCTAGAATTTCAAAGGTGTCATTTTCTTCTATGAACTACACAATTAGAATCAGTC